TAAAATAGCAGAATACTGAACTTGAGACTATTGCTGACAGGCTATACTACTGTAATAATATGGGAGACATGATGTGCTAGGGGGAGTATAGAATGGGGAGGAAAGGAAAGTAAGAATAACCTTTAATTAGGCTTTTTGAAATCATTCAGGCTGGCCAACTTCTTACCAAAATACTCAACTCTACTTCTTGCATGTTTTTCTTAGTAGCCAGTATATCAGGCATGCTAATATTAATATCAGATAATCTTGAAAATTGCAAGTTTCTCTACCAAGCAATTAATTCACATATTCTGAGACACGAGTTTTTGAGCACGCTATGCAAAATGAAAGTTTGAATGCAAATAAATAAGGCTTCAAGTTTTTGTAAAAGCCATCATCATTTGACATTAGGCTAGGTCTTCCATTTGTCCCACTTACAGAAATTAAAACTTCTGGCTGAAAGACAAAGTTTCAACATATGCATGGCCTTGAAGTATCAGGCCAAATAGCAACTATATAAGCAAATTACTCAGCTAAAAATTGTTTCTTAGAAATCTTCAGTAGTCAAATATTTTACTCTTAAAACTCACCTTGACTTTTCAAGTCTTACAAAGGCTGAGAAGATAACAAAGGAACACAATAATTTAGTGCAGCAGTTCTGAAATTGTATCCCCAGGGTGGTGCTTGGAGCAGTATCAGCAAACAGCACCAGGAACTGACAGAAGGGCCCATCATTTCAAGAAGCCTTCCAGGTGATTTGGGTACGAACCTAAGTCTGAGAACCTGTAATTCATGATAATCAAGCCCAGATTCTCAACAGCTTCCAGGTGATGGGAACAGACTCCCATTACAAGGTGCACCCTCACATTTGGGAGGCTCTCAGTCCACCTGTTATACCTTTCCACAAGACGCTGCCGTTAAAATTCACGGAACCAATGCAGATTTACCTTTACCTGAGACTAAGGGGAACTGAGAGAACCAAAAACGATGACAGCAAACAAGAAAAGAGACATTACCTACCTCCCCTAGTATAAACTTCTCAGAAAGCACACAGAGGGAGAGTGGGGGGGTAATTAGGACAGGGAGAGAGAAGTGGGAGGTGAAGGGGGGGAGAACAAGAGCTGGAGACAGAGAGGAGAGGAAGAGGGGTTCACGGGCAGTGGGCCGGGGGAGACAACAAGATTTCTGACAAGTATTCCTAACAACAATGACTGTTAACTATGAAAAACTGAAAAACGACCTTGTTGAAACAAATTGACAAAAATTCAGTTGAAACCTGATTATCTTAAAGATCAGACAGCAATAAACACTCTAAGAGGAGCAACACACTTCAGATTCAGAGAACTAAGAGTCAGAAGGAATTTGTGTTAAATTTATCTTTCTTCTAAGAACACCATTTGTAAAGTCTGAGTTCATTCTTGCAAGTTTCAAGAATTATACATACACACAGCCAATGAAAATTAGCAATCATGCCTGTCTTTAAAATGACTGCTCATTCTACCACCAAAGTATAATCATACAGTTAAAGTTTTTTGCAATCCCTAACACCATTAACCTCTAACACTCTGTTTTTATTATGGCAAAATATGAATAAAATAATTCATTTTAAAAGAGAAATTAAAATAGTGTTATGCAGCCTCTTTTTGAAAACAGTTAAGATAAATATTTGTAGGATATAAGTGACTCACCCGGATGTTTCTGACAGAAAATCAAGTATTTGTGGTTCTCCAACCAATTTTAAGTCTGCAATCCAATTTATGCTGGGGAGTGTGGGAAGACTTTAAAAAGTATAGATGTTAAGGGCTAACTAGACTTGTTCAAATGTGTTGTGACATCCCCTCTGTGTAAGAGCACACAGGCTTGCCTAATGGGCATGCACCTGTGCTGGCACACACTTGACCCCCCATCTCCACTTCTCTTTGTGACAACTGGCTGTGCATGAGGCCATTCTGGCTGAGTGCTTCTCCTGACACACTCCTTAAGTTGACTTTTGAACCACCTAAGTGCAAAGTCACAGGGCACATTACCATGGCAATTCCCCACGACAAACCCAAGCTATCCTAGCAGTCCTTTCAGCTCTGAGGTCACATACAAACCTTCCCTCAAAAGGACCTGAGTAGACAGCTAGCACCCCCTGTATAACTACAGATGAGAACCCAAAGGCCTCTGGCCACATGGCTCCTCTTGAACACAGTCATTCAGCTCCCACAACTCTGTCCCTGTTTGCCTTCAAAGGTCCAGGTTTATAACTTGTTACACTTTGTAATCACGAGCTTTCCCAAATCAAGCAATTATGTGGTCTTCCTATAGAAAGGGCCATTGCAGGAACGAGACAGGTACCAGAGACAAGCTTATTTGGGGAACTTTTAAGGCCACCTCTTCTAGGTGCCCTTCCAGAATCCACTGAGCAACTGTGCTAAACACTCAGGGCCTTTCTTAACAATGATCTCAAGTCCAAAAAAAGTAATCCTCCACTTCAAATGTAAGACTCGGGACATAACAAACAGCAAGTCTCCTTCCTGCTGACTTTCCGGGTACTCAGGACCATCCAGAACCTACTCTGTGGAAAGCACACCAGCTGACAACAAGGAGTCCCAGGTGATCCTTTCAACGAATCCAGCTGCAGTCATTGCTTCCAGCAAGTATACTTGTAAATTCCTCAAAGCTAATGGTCCCAACTTGGGTTACTACAAGAGCCATAAAGGACGAACTCCATGTGCAGAAGGAATGGTGGCTGCCAGCACACAGTGTCACTAAACATCCTCATCACCACTCCATATATGTGTGTGCTGAGGTTGCAAAATGGAGACCTCAGAGAAAGAACCTCAACTGTGTAATATTTAGCTCAGAAAGGATTTCTACAAGATTTAGAACACCTGTCAATACTTTCAAATGAAGAGCCTACATTTTAAAAAGCACCAGTTTCTCTGAGAAACCAGAGGCCTCAGCAACCCTGACCATGTGTTCCAGCCTCACAGTTCTGCAGCAGTGGCTAAGCAGCACCCTGAGACAGGATGCCCGCCTGGGTCCTCACTCGCTCCTCTTCCTGGGCATCTGAGCTGGGAATCGCTGTCTTCTGCTGGAGGAAACTCAAGCTGGCCCTTCCCATCAGCCACCCTCTGCCAGTGACTCTCTCATTTCACAGCAAATGTGAATCATAGCATTAGGACAAGGACTCATCTGGACAATGACAATAAACAAGCGTGGGTGAGTTTTTTGTTTGTTTTTTTTTTTTTTTATCAAAAAGTCAAATGCCCTCAATTGCTCCTAGTAGATTGAAGGGGGAAAATGAGCCTACACACAGTATCTGTGAAGTGGTGGCATATTCAGCCCGTAACACTTCCATCAATAACAGAGGTAAATATAAGGATGTTTAAGTATCACCAACCACGGAGTCCAAGAGGCTCCCAACAGCCCCTGCTGAGCATTCAAGGCACCAAGCACGTCGATGAAATTAGCAAGCACAAGTCAGGTAACTGATCTGAAGAACTAATTTCAACCACCAGGAGTCCTGAAATAATCCTGAATTCTGAGAAAATGCATTGTGTTCTTCCTTACCGCCAAAGTCAGAAGATTTTAACACAACAAAGGTGGTAACGATTCCATATATTTTCCAATGTTAGCCTATGTGAAAGCCAAAATAAATTTGGAATAAGCTTAGAATGGAATGTAGGTAGTTGTGAATAGAACTTTTGTTTTTTCGACGAACAGAACTTTGAAATAGTTTTTAGTAAGGTATCCTAACATAAATGTACCAGTGTGACAACTAATCGATGTGAAAATAATGTCTTCACCTTGGGATTTCCCACTACTGAGCTGTGAAATTATTAAGTAAAATTCTAAGACAAGGAACTTTTCTCTTCCGTAACTCAACTACAGCCCTTTTGTGGAAAACTATTAGAAAAACCAAGTCTTCCAATCACAGACATTATAATTATGAAATAATTGTTCTAAAAAGGTCTTATTTATAGAACATTTTCATCATCTGACTATTATTAATTTCCCAGCTACCAAAGAACTGCCACATGGTGCAATTTGAACCTTTATTTATTTATATTTCCACAACCCTATTTTTCCAAAGAACCCAAAGTACTTGCAAGCATTTTTTTGATGCTCTTGAAAGCTTTGGGTGTGCTGAAAACTAAAAGCACTCTTTTACACATTAAACAATCAAATTCCTGTGATTCAGGCCACAATGACTGTAGTCAAGTTTTGGTCCTCCTGCTGTTAGATAACAATTATACATGTTTTGAAGGAAGCAAATTATTTACTGTTTGGTAACCGAACACCTTGATTTAGAATGCCCTAAGGAAAAGCTATTGGGGGGAGGGGGCGGGAATAAGCAAATATTTGAAATACTAGATTTTTTTTCTACAATGATTTTTAAATCACTCAAGTGTAAGTATGGGTTCTATCCCAGATAAGTGTGTAAAGCAACTGCAAAGCAGAAAGTCTTCTTGCTACGGGTGAAGAACCATACTTTGTGTGAAATCTGATGGTGTCTAGGAACTTTCCCTAAGCCTGGCTCAGAGACCAGGGACCCGCAGACGCTGCTGCGACAAGGACATGACCGGCCACACACATTACTGTGCAAGACTGGACAGCGGGTGAGCGGCACCTTGCCCGCCTCCGCATGCCCTCTTACACACACAGACACGTGCGCACACGCACACACTGGCACCTCCCGTCACAGCCAAGGCACCAAGTGCTATTGGAACACACGGTTCTCCCTGCGTCCTCGTAGGATACCCCAGCTGCTCCTCCTCCGTCCCGGGACCGCTCTCCACCTCCCGCCCTCTCACAGCCTCTGCCCGCATCTCTTGCCCATCCCCGAGTCACTTGTCCGGCTCCCAGGTTCCAGAAAGCAGACCAGCGGGGGATGCAGCGCGCCACGTGGAACAGGCGTGCCAGCAGCCTGACCACAAGCAGTACTCCAAGTAAAGGGAAAGAGCCCCTCCCACCCAGCACCTCCCCACCCCCAGGGTAGGGTCAGCCCCCGAGCCTGGGAGCCCCGGTCTTGCCTGATTAGGGTCTGTGGCACGGAAAACATGGCAAGCCATCTGCGACTCGGGGTCGTCGGGTTGCGCCTTGATCAGGTAGGCAAAATAGGTGAGGTCGTGGCTGTTGTGGATGAAGCGTGCGATGTGCTGCGCCTTATGCTCGAAGATAAACACTGCAGGGTTAGGCTGCATAGTGGTGGGGCCCGCGCCTCCAGCCGCACCGGCCCCGGGCGCGGGGACGCAGCGCAGAAAGGGCGCGCCGAGCACCAGTAGCACTTCGCGCGCCGCAGGCGCCCCGCAGCCGCCCGCCTCAGGCTTCTGGCTGCGCCGGCGGATCTCAGCCATGAGCCAAGGCAGCATGGGCAGCGTGGTCCTGTGGTCCAGACACGACCCTCCCACGTACCACAGCCGGAACTGCTTCTCTCCCTGCTTCCCCGGGCCCGGTTGCGCTGGCGCGCCCGCCTCGGGCTCCAAGGGGTGCGGGAAAGGCTCATCCTGAATGCAGCTGGGCGTCTCCATAACTCGCGCCTCACGAGGGCACAGAGGAGGCCCGGCGGGTGCACCGCGCCCCCAACTCCTGCACCCTCGGCGTTGCCGACACTGAGTCCCCAGCCGCAGCGGGCCCCGAGGCCGTCCCGGCCCGGAGCGACCCCAAAGTCGGCGCTTCAGCGGCCCTGCCCCATGCGGCACTTCCCCGTGCGTGGATCCGCGGCTCCGGCCGTTGGCAACCAGGCAAGCGCTGGCAGCGGGACAGGCAGGAGAGGCGGGCTACATAGGCATTCTGTTCCCACGAGCCCGGGCTTCCTTCTTGCCCGGCCAGGGTCTTCTGGGCCCCTGGACTATGCCAAGCGCCCTCGCCGCCTCTTGCTTGGGCGCTGCAGCTCGGCTGCAGCCGCCTCGCTCGCCTCGGGCAGCCACCGGGAGACTGGGCGGGGAATGGGGTTGTGGGCGGGAGAGGGTGACTCGGGGCGGAGCTGACTCGTACCAGGGTGACCGGCTGTCACCTGGAAGGTCGGGGCCGTCGGGCTGCGGCGCAGCCAGTCATCCACAAGGGCCTGCGAAAACTATTTCAATGGAAAACCACGCAAACAAAACGGCGAGGGGGGGGGGGTCCGCTCCGCCCCCCGCCGCCACGGCAGCCCCCGCGCTCTGCTCCTCCTCCTCTCACGGTTCCCGTCCCTCCCTCGCGCCCTGCTTCCTTCCTTGCAGGCAGCTGCTTTAATCGGGGTGCCACCCCGCCTCTGGTCTCCGCCTGCAAAAGCCTGTCTGCGAAGTGGTCTCTCCGCCTCTTCCTCCAAGCTCTGGGCTGCTCTCCGCACGAACACTGCCAGGATCCACGCGGCCTCTCTCCGCGCCCTTCCAAGGAACCTCCCTCTACCGCCCTCTGGAGAGAGCCGCTCGCCCTGGATGGAGAGAGAGAGAGAGAGAGAGAGAGAGAGAGAGAGAGAGAGAGAGAGAGAGAGAGAGACAGAGAGAGAGAGAGTGGTCGCTTGCTTTAAATTCCTTGCAAAGCTTTAGTATTACTTTCTGAATGTTCTTTCCTTACAATCTCAAAAAACCTTGTGTTTTAAGCCACAATATTTTAAATATTCTTAATATCAGTTTTCACTTAAAATATGACACTGACAACATTGCATCTTCCTAGTTCTTACTGCAGCTAACTTCGAAAAATATGGAAAAATTAGATTGGATTTATTGCATATTCTTAATTCAATGCATGTTTAGGTGTGAGAGTATACACTTCCAAAGAACCCAAACAAGAGTTTAGGGATAATCTGATTATTCCAATTTTGAAACAGAAGTATACAAATACTTGATTTCACATTTGAATTTATCAGGCTCTTCTTTTTACTCTCACTGAGCAATTAGAGAAAATATAAATACAGAATAAACAAAAAGATCTGTTTCTGACTCTCTCCAGAACTTTGTATTCTGGTAATTCTGCATAGTTTAGTGGTGTTCCATTTTGTGCACGGTGCTCAGGCCAGTTTGTCCTGTTTATTTAAGATCAATATGATCAACAACCAGGATTTCATGACTCTTTTTTTTAAGATTTACTTGTTTTTATTGGGAAGGCAGATATGCAGATCCATCCACTGCTTCACTCCCCAAGTAGCTACAATGGCTGGAGCTGAACCAATCCGAAGCCAGGAGCCTGGAGCTTCTTCCAGGTCTTCCACACAGGTGCAGGGTCCCAAGGTTTGGGCCATCCTCGACTGCTTTCCCAGGCCACAAGCAGGGAGCTGGATGGGAAGTGGGACTCCCGGGATTAGAACCAGTGCCCATATGGAATCCTGGTACATTCAACGCAAGGACTTTAGCCATTAGGCTACTGCGCCAGGTCCAGGATTCTTATTCATTAGCATCTACGCTTGATGGTGAAAATACTAATTGATTAAATCAGTTGATTTTTGCCATTCTGAAGACTTTGGGCACAACATGCCCATGTTTTCAAGAAGCAGTGAAAAGTTATTGGCAGGTAAATTATAGCCTTTCTTACCAGAATCTCTCTTACATTTCCCTTCAAGTACCATATCTTAGATTATAAAAGAATGACGTTTTCCCCCCAAATCAGCTAAGCCTGGGAGCTAGGATTGCATCTGGATCCCAAGAAAGCCATTTCCTAGGACTACAATAAACTAATGCAGCAACGAGCAGCTTTTGCTTAGCAACAGAGACACAGGAGACCTGTCTTATTCCATGGCATGCTAAGTGTGATTGCTTTCTGCTCTGAAAGCACCTTTCTTTGCTGTGTTTGTGATATTTGATGCCCTGTACGGTAGGTGAGTAGTGGGTTCACCGCTGGCTAATATCTGATCCTCTCTGAGTCTCCGTTAAGGTAGCTCTGAACTGCTCCTTTCAAGTTTCCATGGTCACATCACTCTTCTTGATCATGAAATGGAAACACAAGTGACTTGAGTCACATTTCTGAGTGGAAGTATTCAATTGCCAGTAGTTGACCCACTCTGGCTCACGATCTGCTCTTTCCCTCCAGTGGTCATGGGAGTAACAGCAAGTCCATGTGGAGGCAGCTCACCGTCCGAGCAGCAGCACACCGAGCCAGTGCACACCAGACAGCTGCCCTAGAGAATCCAACAGGCTGTCAGCCAACTCCTCATGAGTAAGAAATAAGCTTTTGTTCTGTTAAACCACTGACTCGAAGTACTTTGCTATCTGGCTATTCTTCTGCCTTCATTTAGCAAACAGGATTGTTAAAGTCTGCTATCTGAAGTTTTATGTAAGTTTCATGCCAGGTGCGGTGGCCTAGTGGCCAAAGTGCTTGCCTTGCATGTGCCTGGATGCCATATGGGCACTGGTTCATATCCCAGCGACACCACTTCCCATCCAGCTCCTGCTTGTGGCCTGGGAAAGCAGTCAAGGACAGCCCAAAGCCTTGGGACCCTGCACCCACATGGGAGACCAAGAAGGAGGCTCCTGACCCCTGGCTTCAGATCAACTCAGTTCTAGCCACCGCAGCCATTTGGGGAGTGAATCAGCAGATGGAGGATCTTTCTGTCTGCATTTGCTCTTCTCTGTGTATCTGCCTTCCCAATAAAAATAAAGAAATCTTTAAATTACAGAATTTCATTACCATCTATGCCCTTGAGTAGTGCACACCCAAATCAGATCCTAAGCTGCTGGTCTCTTACTGCAATAGTATCACCTGCAGAAAGTTACACATAAAAAGTGTTTAGGGGCCCGGCGCGGTGGCGCAAGTGGTTAAAGGTCCTCGCCTCGCACGCCCAGGATCCCATATGGGCGCCAGTTCTAATCCCGGCAGCCCCGCTTCCCTTCCCGCTCCCTGCCTGTGGCCCGGGAAAGCAGTCGAGGACGGCCCAAGGCTTTGGGAACCTGCACCCGCGTGGGAGACCCGGAAGAGGCTCCTGGCTTCAGATCAGCATAGTATCGACCCGTTGCGCTCACTTGGGGAGTGAATCATCGGACGGAAGATCTTCCTCTCTGTCTCTCCTCTCTGTATATCCGCCTTTCCAATAAAAAAATAATAAAAAAATAAATCTTTAAAAAGTGTTCAGCCATGTATGTAACTGATCATTTGAATTTTAAAAAAGACATAATTTTAAAACTATCTGGCAAGTATTTTACCCAATGTGCAAGTATTAAGTAGCCAGGTGACAAATCAACTTCTTACCCCAGGGCTTTTCAACTGTTTGACCCCCCTGAAAAGGTCCCAAATAAATATGCTCATGAAAAATGTTTCCAAAAGCCTGATGGAAACCTCTCTTAAATAGTATTAAAAACCTCTCCTACGATATCCAAAAATGGGCATTTGTGTGTTTTACCAAAGATCTCACATCAAAGTAGCTGAGTTCAAGTCCTGCTCCCCTCCTGATTTCAACTTGGTACTTAATGCATTCTCTGGGAGGAAGCAGGTTACAGTTTAAGCAGTTGGGTCCTTACCATCTACATGGGAGACCGGGATTGACTTTCAGTTCTAAGCTTTGGCATCATTACAGGCATCTGAGAAGTGAACCAGTGGACTGGAGCTCTGTGTGTGTCCATTATGTCACATCTAAATTAATGGAATCAATATTTATCGAAAGCTGAAAGACACAGTCATATCCTAGCAAACAAGAATCTACTATGTGACAGATATAAGGACTTGAGCTAGTAAGGTGGTAGAAGGCTGGAAAAGTTGTTGTAGTCTTGGTTTGTATCACTGCTCACAAGCAAAAGCATGCTTGCACACTGTCACTCTCCCTCTTCTATGCACCAATCCACTCGATCTATTTAAAAATCTCTCAAGAGAGATAGCATTTCCTGAAGCACAAAGCTCAGATTTTCCTAGTTTTCTTTGCTGCTCCCCAGTCACCAGCTCTCACCTCCAGACAAAAAAAAAAAAAAAAGACCTCTATGTTCCCTAACAGCTTTCATGTCCGTGTCTATACGGAGCTCCCCTCGCTTTACTCTCTCCCTGGGCACTTGCTCTGCCCACCACCCCACCACTTTGCTATTTGAATACCCACTCATCTTCAACACCCAACCCAAGAGTCATCTCTTTTGTGAAGAGCTTTCTGACATCCCCAGGCGGTATTTATTGTCATCTCTTCTCTGCATCTCACACTGCAGCTCTTTATCACCCTTCTTATAATTATTGGATGATTTGTCTGAGTTTACACTGAAGAAATCATGTCTTGAAAGACAGGATTACTAGGGACCTGCGTGTTATCTTAGTGTCTAAAGTACTCACCTAGCACGTGCCAGGATTCCATATGGGCACCAGTTCATATCCTGGTGGCCCTGCTTCCCATCTAGCTCTCTGCTTGTGGCCTAGAAAAGTAGACAAGGTTGGCCCAAAGCCGTGGAACCCTGCACCCACGTGGACGACTCAGAAGTGGCTCCGGGCTCCTGGCTTCGGACTGGCTTAGCTCCAGCCATTGGGGCCACTTGGGGAGTGAATCAGTAGACAGATCTTCCTCTGTGTCTCCTCCTCTCTGTACATCTGACTTTCCAATAAAAATTTTTAAAAAGAAAAATAGGGGTTTTTTTTTGCTTTGTCTCTTGATAGAAAACAAGTGTATAATATTTACTAGGAACTTGGTAAATATTGAATG